CTGTGCATATGACAAATAAACACTTGACTTTGACCTAATGTTAACTTAGTGTTATAATGATCAACTTAACCAAAACATGATCAGTTTTTAAGATGTATCAAAATCATATTTAAGACTTTTTAGAGCTTAAAATTCAGATGATTAACATTTAGACTTTTTAAGGAACCCTGTTTTTATTCTATAGATTTTTCTCCACAGTGAAATCTTATCATTAAAGTGGTTCTCCTTCTAAAACAAACAAACAAACAAAATAAGCCAAATACATTACAGCCACTATATGCAAGCCTACAAGGTGTGAATGTTTCATACTCAGAGAGATAGAAGAGTGGATTAATTTACTTGCTAGTCCTGCTAGCACTAGCTTTATTACCAGAACATAAACATAGATATACTAAAAATTTATATTTTTTTATATATCTAGATTTTCTGTACACTGGCACAATGATTGTCAAAACTGGGAAAAATAAATGGTAACTTTTAATGTGTAATCTCCATCAATAGTGCAAGTGTAGACTTTATCAGGTGTGTATCCATCACTGGACTGGCGGCGCTGCTTTGCATTTCCCTGCACATAAGGCATCAGAACAAGAGTAACGGCCCCTCAGACTACAGGCTGCACAGATGCTGCAATACCACTTTGGACTGTGTGTATCATAGTATCATACAGCTCTATACTGAAATTCAGGAAAGCGTCCACCTTGAGTTTCCGTTTGTCTGCCACAGTAAATGGAAGAAAATTGCTGCTGTTGCTACAGCTTTTCATCTGATGCCACTATGTATGTAGTGCCACTGTCCTCTCAATTTCCAGAAAATATCAAGACTTACTGTACTAAACAAACCAAAAAGTAAAACGAAATGCTTTCATGTAATTTCATAACTGCATTGAAAACGAACAAACAGGGACAGCCAGACACTGATTAACTGTACATGCTCAAAGGTATCAGCTAAGTTTTATGGTTCTGCCAGAAAATAAAACAAGACTTGACTACATGAATTTAGTCCAGGAGTGGGAGGGCGCTTCTGTTAATATAATAGGGGGTTTCAAGGTTTTAGATGCAAGGAGGAGGTGTGTGCAGGTCCTGATGAAAACCCCACCAAACTGACCTTTTGGAAAAACAGGAGAAATTGATTCAGAGCTAAGGTGCAACAGACCATGTTATGATATCAGGGTTGTTGACACCCACCTTAGCATTGTTTGAGTATTTCACACTGATACAAAACATGGTTAACGTAAGCTTACAGTTGTGTGCGCGTGCGGTTTTCTTGTAAAAATGATTGCTTCAATTATGAAAGTTATGTAGAAATTTAGGGAAATAAATGCATAGTATGTAAGCAAATTTCAAATTCTCTCTGTCTTACCCACACACCGTTAGTTTACATTGTCTGTAAGATGTGTCAGAACATAGTCAAAAAAATAATACTGAAAAAGATACAGCACTTCAAGAAGGAAGAATAACCTCAAGTAAAACTATGTAAAGACATAGAAAATGACCTATTTACAGCTCTTGTTCTATTCTTTGTTAAGAAAAACCCAATACCCAAGTGCAGGTTTCAGAGAGAAGAGCGCTGAAAGAAAGCAAGACAGAAGAAACTGAAGTTGGGATGAGCAGAAACAAAAACTGATGCTACCCTGAGGAGTAATACTAGAGAATGGGGGGATGAAATTACAAAGACACAATCAGCTTTTACAAGGCAAAAACTAAGACGTTTTCCAATGGAAATGCTGAATAATAAATCACAAATATGCACCAACATAGCAATTTCACACCTACTTCCAGGATGTGAATCACCCCAAAGAAGGTAAAAATAACAGTGTGTGGGGAGAGGGGCTCTACATTTTTACAGTCCCTATGTAACTTCAGTCATATATTGAAATATATTTTAACATTCATGGCTAAAAGAAGCAACAACCCATGTTATCACACACCTGGATCATACAATTTCCAGTGACCCACCACTTGTAGTGAGTAACAGCACAGACTGGGCAGTGGTCTGACTAACTTTGACAAATGAAGCATAAAATAAACAGATTTAAGTTCCTACATTCCAGTGGTGAGCATATCATTAATACAGACAGTTACTGTATGAGCGCTTATTTCCACCTGCATTGCAGATCTTCTGGTTCCAACTTGATTTGGTTTTGTAGTTTTATTATAGCATCATAAAACACAAACTAATGACACAAAGAACTACAACACAGAACCAAAGTACCGCAGGCGGTATCGTTTTGTCACCAAAACATTTGTTCAAAAACACATAAAACACATCCTCCATCCTCAAAGACCTCATCCACCTCCAGCATGGACTGTTCTCACACCTACCCTCTGGCCAGTCATGTGGATGACAAAGTAAGCATTTCCTTGTACGGGGAAACACGTTTCCTCACTGTGCATATGACAAATAAACACTTGACTTTGACCTAATGTTAACTTAGTGTTATAATGATCAACTTAACCAAAACATGATCAGTTTTTAAGATGTATCAAAATCATATTTAAGACTTTTTAGAGCTTAAAATTCAGATGATTAACATTTAGACTTTTTAAGGAACCCTGTTTTTATTCTATAGATTTTTCTCCACAGTGAAATCTTATCATTAAAGTGGTTCTCCTTCTAAAACAAACAAACAAACAAAATAAGCCAAATACATTACAGCCACTATATGCAAGCCTACAAGGTGTGAATGTTTCATACTCAGAGAGATAGAAGAGTGGATTAATTTACTTGCTAGTCCTGCTAGCACTAGCTTTATTACCAGAACATAAACATAGATATACTAAAAATTTATATTTTTTTATATATCTAGATTTTCTGTACACTGGCACAATGATTGTCAAAACTGGGAAAAATAAATGGTAACTTTTAATGTGTAATCTCCATCAATAGTGCAAGTGTAGACTTTATCAGGTGTGTATCCATCACTGGACTGGCGGCGCTGCTTTGCATTTCCCTGCACATAAGGCATCAGAACAAGAGTAACGGCCCCTCAGACTACAGGCTGCACAGATGCTGCAATACCACTTTGGACTGTGTGTATCATAGTATCATACAGCTCTATACTGAAATTCAGGAAAGCGTCCACCTTGAGTTTCCGTTTGTCTGCCACAGTAAATGGAAGAAAATTGCTGCTGTTGCTACAGCTTTTCATCTGATGCCACTATGTATGTAGTGCCACTGTCCTCTCAATTTCCAGAAAATATCAAGACTTACTGTACTAAACAAACCAAAAAGTAAAACGAAATGCTTTCATGTAATTTCATAACTGCATTGAAAACGAACAAACAGGGACAGCCAGACACTGATTAACTGTACATGCTCAAAGGTATCAGCTAAGTTTTATGGTTCTGCCAGAAAATAAAACAAGACTTGACTACATGAATTTAGTCCAGGAGTGGGAGGGCGCTTCTGTTAATATAATAGGGGGTTTCAAGGTTTTAGATGCAAGGAGGAGGTGTGTGCAGGTCCTGATGAAAACCCCACCAAACTGACCTTTTGGAAAAACAGGAGAAATTGATTCAGAGCTAAGGTGCAACAGACCATGTTATGATATCAGGGTTGTTGACACCCACCTTAGCATTGTTTGAGTATTTCACACTGATACAAAACATGGTTAACGTAAGCTTACAGTTGTGTGCGCGTGCGGTTTTCTTGTAAAAATGATTGCTTCAATTATGAAAGTTATGTAGAAATTTAGGGAAATAAATGCATAGTATGTAAGCAAATTTCAAATTCTCTCTGTCTTACCCACACACCGTTAGTTTACATTGTCTGTAAGATGTGTCAGAACATAGTCAAAAAAATAATACTGAAAAAGATACAGCACTTCAAGAAGGAAGAATAACCTCAAGTAAAACTATGTAAAGACATAGAAAATGACCTATTTACAGCTCTTGTTCTATTCTTTGTTAAGAAAAACCCAATACCCAAGTGCAGGTTTCAGAGAGAAGAGCGCTGAAAGAAAGCAAGACAGAAGAAACTGAAGTTGGGATGAGCAGAAACAAAAACTGATGCTACCCTGAGGAGTAATACTAGAGAATGGGGGGATGAAATTACAAAGACACAATCAGCTTTTACAAGGCAAAAACTAAGACGTTTTCCAATGGAAATGCTGAATAATAAATCACAAATATGCACCAACATAGACAGCATACTATCTCTCTCTCTCCAGATAAAAGGCAATAATATACACATAAGCTTACCAGTACATTTAGTTTTTGGAGGTGTCTTACTGCTTTAACCTCATTTGAGTGTGTGACTGCAAGATGTGGGTCTGCGAGGATGATGTGTAGCCTCTGACAGCTTTACAGTCTGTGTGGGCTTCAAAAGGCATCCTTCATTAATCGTGCAAAACATACAGTATAAATAAAATATATATATGTTAAATTCAATTCACAGGCAAGTAGATGTTTTGCTGTGGTCACTTATAAAATCCATAAGAGCTGTGATTTTTTTTGTCATAAGCAGTCACAACTAAAATTGACTAGTTTATATCCTTGAGACAGTAAAGCTGCCCGTTTGTCTAAACTTGACATGCTTGAGAAAAGTCATGATAAAATAACCTGTCTCATAGGATTAGTCTGTCCCAGAGAGCTCCACTCCTCCTATTAGCCCAGAGTATGTACAATGTCAGCATCCTGCAGAAGAGCTCAATATAATGCCAAGGCAAATGCATTTATTTATTTATTACAGGCCACTTGAATTTGCCTTTTAAATTTCTGCTTAAAGGAATAAGCTCTATGCACATTTTTAGTGGTCCTATTGTGCAATGCCACTCTGCCCCATGCATTGGACTGCAGAGTGGTGTTAAAATTCAGAACAAGTATTTGGAGAAGACTACACTTGCTGCTTCCTAAACGTTCAAGAGAAACCCAAGCAGGACTATGCCGCTATGATGCCCCACAGTATAGCAGGGTGTGACAGAAAAAACACGGGTGCTAGAGGGGAGGAAAAACTTCCAAGCCCTTTGTCCATTAAGTAGGTAGAAAAGGAGGAAAACTTACCACCCCCATGTCCAGCTGCTCGGCAGTCTGAGAGGGAGCCGCTCCGGTCAGGGGTAAACACCACAGTATGGGCACCAACAGCAGCATCTCCGGAGAAATATTCCTCATCCAGTTAAGAAAAACCAGAGAAGTCATGATGCCCTATGACAGGCTGATCCTGCAGGGCTCAGAAACCGACCCCGACCCCGACCACCACATTCATAGGTTAAATGAAACGCCAGCACTCCTGTAAGTCTACCTCACTGTTGAGCGCAAACACATAAAACACATTAAAACCGGAGCTGGTAAAAACATTTAGACCACTAGAGCAGTTCATATCCCGCAAAACTGCATGTATAATTTACACGCAAGTGGACTGATTCAGAGACAAACTGCGTAGTTTTGTGTTAGATTAAATCCATCCGAGGTAATCCTTGGAGCAGGAACCGTGCGCCTCTCGGCCGTCGCGTCTCTGGCACTGGAATGAAAGCAGCTGCGTGCGGTGATGTCGAGAGCACATCAGCCTCAAGCCTGCCACAATAACCAACTCAACTTCCGGACTAATTCCCCCAATAAAATTCTCGCTGCTGGACGTAATAGCAATTTTTATAGCAATTACATTTATTTGCTAAATTGTATCTTAGTAAGAAGATGAGGATTTGTTGCCATCAGACTGCTGGCTCTCAGTATAAAAACTTTAAAATATAACTTCAGGTGGTTATCAGTAATGTCAGGCATGAGGCACCTTTTGACATATTAAAGACTACATTTTTAAATTATTCAGTCAAATTTGAATGGGTGTAGAGATTTAAACTATCAGTTAAATGAAACAAAATAGATTCATTAGCCCTGATAACATAATTTATTTCAGATAATTTGACTTTTGTTTATGACTTTTGCACAGATTTGGGTGGACTTTTTCTGACTGCTCGTCTGCTCCACCATCATATGATATTTTTACATTTGGCCAGCATACTGTATAAACTACATTTCCATTATGTCACAACATATTCTATCAACCCTTACTCTGGTCTACTGCGACTTATCCTATGCTTTTATTCTGACGTTCAACTATTAAACTTCCATTGGGCTCCTACTGTTGTTTTTTCTGACTTTATTTAAACAGCTGTGACAGAATTTGAATTCAGCTTGATGCACCTTTTATTTAACCTCCTAGGCCTTTATTAATCCAAAAGATAAAACAGCGGATGCCCTAAAAAAAAGTAATTAAAGGATGCCCATATTGCTGCAATAGTGATGTTATGTAATATGACGCTGGAAAAAAAAGACCACACATCAATGATTGATAACAGCTGTTGCTGACGAAATAACAATGGTTTCATAATTAAAGTACTGTTGTTCCCTCCAGATCCAAACAGTTTTGCTCCGTTGTTTTAATAGTTTTGTTCCCTGGATATGGCTCATAGACAAGGTGATTACTATGCCCAAGGTTAAATAAACATAATAAAATCCTAATTTTAAATAAATTAAGTCAAAGAAAACCCTGATGTCAATTAAAAGTCTAAAGATGGAAGTACTTTAAACAATAAGCAATTACATTTTATTCGCTCAGTTTTAAAGCACAACATGGTTGTTTGCTGACAAGCAAGATCCTTCAACTGGAGAAACCAAGTTCGTGCCCCCAGTATTGCAGATCTCCACCCTATGATATGCCCTGGAGCCAGACCCTGAATCCTTATTGTTTGTAAGCAGAGGAGGATGTGTGTGAATCATTTAAATGTTGATTCATTATGCAGATGCACACACACACATACACACACACACCTTTGCGGCCACCCACATGTAAATACTGTATCTTAACTACGCTGTCTATCTTGATAGTCTTCTTAACCATAGTGCAGTGACACTAATGATTCACCGCTCTCCTTTATTGTACCACAGCCTCATGACTCCACTGCAAAGAAATGCACAATGAGTGCATGGACACCCACACACACACAAATTAAGCTTATCCAGTTGATCTCCTGCTATAACTGTTACATTTCCATTTCAAATAGTTTTTTGTGTAAAATTTAATAGATATGTCATTATTTTCAACCGACTGATTTAGACAACTGTTTCTACATGAAACAACCGTGCCATTAAAGTCCAGGGGCCTCTGAATGTCCTGGAAAACACTTCCGAATAAATTGACAGCCAATTAAATACATATCAGTAGAAGCTCACTGCTGTGAGTGAAGAACATGCACGTCTAAGAAATGTAAAAGATTTGTGCCCCTCATTACAATTCTACTTCTTACCGTATTTCAAGAATCATAATATATCTTGCTGAACTGCAGAGACAATTTGCATTAAAACAGTACAATGAGAAAACCACTGGCTGTTAATGCACAACAAACTCTGCCAGCCCACTCTTTGCCTCCACTGAGGACAGACTATTTCATTTATTTATACATTTTTTTTATTAAGAATTATCAAAATTTTCAGATTCATTCAGGAACATTTTATTATCAATCCGCTGATCAATAAATTGGTCCACAAAAAAATCCATGCAGTGCCTCGACTGGTTCCATTTCTTATTATGATCTATTACAGCAGCCATTCATCACTGGTCCAGAGGCAAAAGACATTAAAATATGGTTGTTGTTGTTTTCGCTGTCTTTTTGCTGTAGCCTTTTAACTTCTCGACTTTACCGCTTCCAGCCCCAGTCACACTTGTTGTAGAGCCACAACATTATGGTAATTGCAGCATCTGAATATTGTCTCACAGCATGTCTTCTGGCAAAAAGAAGCTTCATTCATTCAGTTTTATATTAACGGGAGTTTAAAACATGCATCCACTCATCACAGTCTGCTGTGCACATTTTACCTGAAGTGTTTTGACATCTTCAGACAATTTTCCAAACAACTTTAGCTCATTTTCTTTGATCTGATTGTATAATTATATGAAAACCCAGTGCCCAGTGTGGAGGTGGACTGAATTGAGTTTGTTGGCTGCTATTGTAACACATGCATTTTAATTTTTGTTACCACATATGATGCCAAGTTGGCTGCAAACCTCATGGATGAATAAATATAATCAAATATCTGTATTATTATTATATTATATCAATCATCATGTCATGTCCTCATCACTGGGGTGTGAAGTGAATGTTTTTATATGGCTTAGTGGGATGTTGGACAGTGTCTTAACTGTTAACAACATAATTTGTACTTTAATTTATTTAGCATTCACACTGTCAGCTCTACTTAATGGGTTTTGCCATTAGTCAAGTTAACACTGTGGTGTTAAAAAAAAACAACATAGCTTTCATTAATTTATTTGGCTTATCTACATTGTTTGTGGGTTTGTGGTGTAGTGTTAATATAAAAGTTGTTTTATTTTGTATATAATATAGTACAACATTAGAAACTTTTAGTACTATTAAAGTTAAAAATCATAACTTTTCTCAGGAAATTGAACCAATACTGGTTTCAGTTGTCTTTGATGGAAGAATGCACGACAAAGCTCAGTGTACCAAGAAATGTACCCTGGGTCTCTATGGAAATGAAGGTTTTACTCCACCTGTACCCAAAGCAAGGAGTTTAAGGGATTCAAAATGAAAAGCTGAGTTAGCTTAAAGATCTCAGATTTGGCTTTAAGATATGCAAACTGTTCTAAAGCTTATAAGGCTTTAACTGCAAATGTGCTATGATACATTTGGGAAATGAGAGGAACCGATGGCTCACACTTTTAGTTCAACTTTATGTTAAAAAAATCATGTTTAATTCCTTCAAGCCCACACAGTATTTTATTAACAAAAGTAGTTGTTGAATTTATTAGTGATGATAATAAAGTGTGTGATAAACAGATAAACCTGCAACTGAATTATATAGAATAGAACAAATTTATCTTTGGTTTGCCGCCCAAAAAAGCATCATGTATGTTACTCCAAATACAGTACAAATGAATACAGATACCTACAGACTGAGTTCCTCGAGTACATTATGAAAAATCTTTGCCTTTAAGATGTTTTTTCACCAAGTTTCCATGACATGCCTCAGTCGACTAGAGACTCATCTCAGATCTCCTGGCATAAAATACCATGTCAGCTATATGAGAATGCCTGGAAAGTCAAAGAAAAAAATCATGTTGTTTGTTTTCTTATTTATTCATATGGCTGGGATACAGGATTTATTAAAAAGCTTCTCCCACACTGATCCTCAGAGACATGCTGTCCAAGTTCTTCTTCTTTTTTTTCAATAGTGTGCATTTCTTGTCACATTGCTGAGGGGATCTACTGCTCTATTCACATTCACTCTGGTTGAGAAACAACAGGAAGAAAACTAAATATTATCTTATACAAAAGTATTTTATAGGTGTTTAAAATGCAGTTTTCCTCCTGTTCTCTACATAAGAAGCACAGGGCATTAAAAAAGATCTATTCTTCCCAGTATACATTGGATAGAATGCAAAAAAAAAAAAAAAACTAGCACAAAACAAAACAAAAACCTGGAGAAGTCAGTAACTGTCGGTTAAATCCAGCCTCTCTGAAAAAGTCTGAATGAGAATAATGTAACTTTGTCTGCCATTCTGCAAATGCTATTTTGTAAAATAGTTGAAATTCTTTGCTTTGAGTTTAAAGTACTTCTAAATCAAAGATGGCAATAGATAAGTGATAAATGTTATTTGGTGAAAGGCCAGACAGAAAATCAGTATCTATTGACCAAGGACTGTTGTATGTGTTGAGAATCTTTTATGTGTTTGTAGGACTTCAAGTACTCAGCACTTGTTGTCCATAGTCAGAAAAACTGCTCGGTTCAGACAGAAAAGCTGAAATTATGCAGGGCAAGAGAAGTGCCACTTCAGTGTGTGGAGTACAGTACTCGTCTTAGTGTAAGGGTGTCATTTTAAAAGCCCCTCTAGCGTTGCCTTTCACCTCGAGATTGTTTTGCATGGGTTATAGCGATGAGTGTGTGTCTTCCAACAATATGATTTAAGCTACACTGAACTGCTGTAGCTGCTACATATCCATTACTATAATGACAAAGCACCATTCTTATTCTTAACATCATCATCAAAGCAGTTTGGGTGTTTATCTCACCATCAATACTCTTGTCCCCAACAAAATAGCAGGGTATCAATTTGGGATCAATAAAGAATATATTACATTTTATATGGGGGAGGGCCTGACAGATTTTCTCATCACCCAAAGCACAACACTTTCATTAACACCCGCTCCTGGTTCAAACATCAAGGACAGCCACAATCAAGACCAGAAGCAATTTGTCTGTTGACATACAGATTTTAGTTTAGTTTAGTTATCCTGGAAATTTCTTCATTGTTTCATTTTTGGAGAGTTAATCTAAAGGAATTGTTTGACATTTGTGGTTCTCAACAAGGATTCCTATGCTGGGAGCAGATGTGACAGGCAGCAACAAACTCCTGCAAGGGGTATGAGATGAGTGTAAATAGCCAAATTAAATCATTTAGAGCAAAAACCAGAAATGAAGGAGACTGAGATTTAGTGATTGGGAGCACATTAT